CCTCCATGCCCTGTTGTTGGCCTTCCAGAGGAACTGGTTTGCCACCTTGTGAGACAAGATGCTGGACTAGAGGGACCCTCACTGGTCTGATCCAGCAGGGCTCTTCTGATGTTCTGTTGTGGGGAGGGGAAGGGAAAGGAGTTTGTAAGCCGCTCTGAGACTCCAAGTGAAGGGCGGGGTATAAATCCAATCTCTTCTTCTCTTCTTCTTCTAATTAGGGGAAGGCCTCGGCCTCCATGCCCTGTTCTTGGCCCTCCAAAGGAACTGGTTGGCCACTGTTTGAGACAAGATGCTGGACTAGAGGGACCCTCACTGGTCAGATCCAGCAGGGCTCTTCTGATGTTCTTATCAGGGGAAGGCCTCGGCCTCTCTGCCCTGTTCTTGGCCTTCCAGAGGTTGGACCCTGTGTGAGACAAGATGCTGGACTAGAGGGACCCTCACTGGTCTCATCCAGTGGAGCTCTTGTGTTCTCTATCGCCTTGAGTTCAGTGAGATCCCAAGAGATCTCCAGCCACCATCTGGAGGTCATCAACCCATGGAGCGGCAGTATAGCGGACAGTATGCATGACGTGTCACGTCCCATCATTGGGAGTTCAAATGGGTTTCTGAATTCCAGAATGGGCGGGGGGGGGAGGAATGAGCTGTTTTCACGGAGTGGGGAGTGGATGGGACAGGGAGAATACAGCTCACAGTAGCTAAATCCATTCTGAAGCAAGCAACGAATATCCCTCTTACCACCGGTGGCACTAATAGAGCGCTTTGTAGAGACGGTACAAAATATGGTTAAAGAAACTGTAGTGCATTTCCCCCCCAGTTGAGCCCAAACAGATGATAACCAGAAACCAAGCTTGGCATTCTTTTTATCTGTTAAAAAACATCTTCGCTATTTTGCATGCCGATTTAACAAGCCACCCTCTATGTATACAACTGTGATCTGTCATTCCATTTCATTGTCCGACAAAGTGTGCGGGCACACGGAAGTTCACACCTTGAATAGAACTTTGCTGGTCTTAATGGTGGCAGTGGACTCGAATTTTGTTCGAATCCTTCAGTCTGTTCTAACCATAGTGAGACCAGGGAGGTAGGGAGAGAGAGAGAGAGAGAGAGAGAGGAGGAGGAGGAGGAGGAGGAGGAGATTGGATTTATACCCCGCCCTTCACTACCCAAATGAGTCTCAGAGCGGCTTACAAACTCCTTTCCCCTCCCCTCCCCACGACAAACACCTTGTGAGGTCGGTGGGGCTGAGAGAGCTTTGACAGAAACGGCTCTTTTTCAAGGACAGCTCTTACAGAACTATGGCTTGCCCAAGGTCATCCAGCAGGTGCAAGTGGAGGAGTGGGGAATTTTTTGGTGGCAGCCCTGTGATTATGGAACGGTCTCCCCAGGGAGATGTGGCTGGCCCCTCATTGCTGATCTGCAGGAGGCAGCTGAAGACGGCTTTGTTTAGGACTGCATTTGGTTGAAGCCGTCCTAAATTGTTATTTTAGAATTCCGGTTTTGTGTATTTTTATTTATATTGTAAGCTGCCTTGAGTTCCATAAGGAAGGAAGGCGGGGTCATAAATGCTTTCAACAAACGAACAAACATTGGGATATGTACATTATGGAAAAGATTTTAGATAGTAAGTCCACAACTGACAGGAGTAATAACCCTGTGTTGTCTACTTTTATTAAAACTTGGTTTCCAGTCATTGAGTTTATCTCTGTCAATGAGTCATTTCTAAATAGATCTTACCCAATTGATTTATTGGTATTCACTTTTCTGTGTTAGTTCTTGTTAAAAAATAAAACGATTGTATGTTTATTCAAATTATGTTAAAATATTCGTAATATTTTAATGGTTTAGCTTATTCTTAGTGATTTCTTCCACCCTGTATTTTGATTTATGTAGCTTATGTATCTTTTTTATAACTTTGTAATTTGATTCTCTGCAAATAAAAAGATATATTTCAAAAAAAACACACCCCAAAACAAACAAACAAAAATAAATATGCAGAGGAGTCCCTGCTACGAAAAGAGCCCTGGGCGACACACCCCTAATGTAGCCAATCCTCCAAGAGTTTACAGGAGACCCTGTAAGAAGAGCTCTGTAAGCTCTTGGAGGATAGGCTACATTAGGGGGTGTGTGGCCTAATATGCAAAGGCGTTCCTGCAACGAAAAGAGCCCTGTTTATATATGTTATCAGTTTAGATTGCATATTGTATTTTTAGGTATCTTATGTAGCTTATGTATCTTTTTTATAACTACACGCTAGGAGTTATCTCACACAATTTGGAAATCGCTACCTTCAGAGTTTACTTATTTATTTAACTTCATTTGTCCCCCCACCCACCCAATGGGGATCTGAGGCGGCTTCCCTCCTCCTCTCCTGCATTTTCATCCTCACAACAACCCTGCAAAGCAGGTGAGGGTAGGAGAGGGTGAGCGGCCCAAAGCCATCAGCCGGTTTCCACGGGTCTCCCAGATACTAGCTGACACGCTTCACCACTACCCCACACTGGCTTCTCGCGCAATAACCGCTCAACGGAGCGCATCATGCCCCACGTTAACAGACAGAGATGACAAATTCGGGATCACAGCTACGGTAAGGCATTCCCATTACTTTTTCAGACGGATACTGGATTGGATCCAACCAGCTTCCTTCACTCAATCTCACCCGGTTCCTATTCTCAGTACAGCCTTCACCCCACGCGGCTTCTGTGCACGCGGGTGGTCAACCTGGCCCCTTCTTGGGCTTGGTTGCCATGGAGACGTGGGGGGGGAGCGAGAACAAGAATGTATACTTTCGTTTTTGGCCACTGTGCTGTTATCTGTCTCGATGTAGCCACGTAACCTTGAGAACTGAACCGTCTCTGTTATTAGCTGTTGTAGTTTTTCCGGGTTGTCTAGCAGGTGAGGGTGGGAGAGGGTGAGCGGCCCAAAGTCATCAGCCGGTTTCCACGGCACGAGTGGGATTCAAACTCGGGTCTCCCGGATACCGTACTAGCTGACACTCTTCACCACTACCCCACATTGGCATTGTAGGACCTGACGTTTCGCCAGTCACAGCTGCTGGCGAAACGTCAGGTCCTACAATGCCAAGATCGCGGCTAGACAACCCGAAAAATCTACAACAGCTAATGAACTCTGGCCGTGGAAGCCTTCGACAACATATTGTCTCTGGTATTCTCTTTCCCCTGGGAATTCTATGACGTTAGTTAGGCGGGTTTTCTAGCTTAGGTGGGATGGGCTAAGAGCCACTGTTGTCCTGTTTGATTGTAGTATAATTGTAGCGGCCATAAGAGCGACGAGCAGAATAACATCTAAGCACTTTTATGCTGGAAGCTGGAAATCCATCTGAAAGCATTCCTTCTGATTGAATTTTAACTGCCACCAGCACTCTGTAATGTATTATTTTCAACTGCTATGTTTTAATTTGCATTATGGATGTTTTTATCATGTATTTATGTTATTGGAAGCCGCCCTGAGCCTGCTTTGCGGGGAGGGCGGGGTATAAAGTTGACAATAAATAAATAAAATAAACAAATAATTGCTTGCTTCGAGCGCTTGACCTCAGTTCTAACCAAGAAACGTTATGAGTCTGGATCCTATCAATGTCTCGATAAACTTCAATTCTTCCCAATTATTGGGAACTGATTTCTCCAGGGGCTCTGACACGATCTCCAGCGTAGCCTGCCGTGGTGGTCAAGGGCGTCTCCCTCTTTCTTTTTTCATTGGCAGAAAAAAGCTGATGGGATCGAACTCATTCTGATTTTCAGCTCAGAGATGATAATGGAAGTCACTGGGATTCTGGGCCAAAACGCACTGGTTTACCCAGAAGGGATTTCTTCCAAGTGATCACCAGTGGAAGCAAGGATATGTTTGTGTGTGTTTTACTGCCTGTTCTGGATTAAGCAATTGAACAAACCTATCCTGTCTGGGAATTTAGGTTGCAGGGAGAGGCCCTCCTGGTTGTCCCATCAATCAAAGAAGCTCATCTAGTGGGCACACCAGACAGGGCCTTTTCAGCGGCAGCCCCACAATTGTAGAACGACCTTCCCCAGGTAGGTGCACCTGGCGGCCTCACTGCCCATCTCCAGGAGGCAGATGAAGACGGTTTTATGTAGGACTCCGTTTGACTGATCTAGTTTTTATTTATTGGCAGTCCTAATGGGAGTTTTTAAACTGTGCCCTTTTATGTGTTTTGTTTTATCTGTATTGTTTTTACCGTGCTTTATAATAACTGCTTTCTTTATCCTGTGAGCCGCCTGGAATTCCACAAGAGAGAGAGGCATCAAACCAGTGTTTTAAATGAATAAACAGATATCCAGGAAGCACACCAATATATACTTGGGCTTCCTGGCTCGGTACATGAAGTTGTATTTCAGCTCTTAACAAGAACACACCTGACAACAGACTTTAATCGCGTCCTGCTAAATGTCCCGTGGAACATTTTGTAAAGACTAATGAAGTGTTGATAATGGCAAAGCTGGTGACGGTGCTGAGAGAATGAAGGATCTGCTGGAAAACGCACAGAGACACCCACAATATGTGGCTAGAAACAACGCAGGGCGAAATTAAACAAGGGTTTTTTGGGGGGGCGCAGTTTGTATGTTGCCAAACATGGCTGAAACCGCTTCCCAAAGAAGAAGGAGCTCTGTTTACCTGGGGCGTAGCCAGGGCTGGTAGTCGGATACATGTTTGGGTTATAGGTGGGGGCAGCCGTGGGATATCCGGCGGGATAACCTGCAGAGAGAGAGAGAGAGAGAGAAGAGACAAATATGCTTTAATTGGCAGGAGAAACTCGGTAAGCGGAAGGACAGCTGCAAAAAGAGGCTACGGAGGCTAAAGACCTGGCAAGACAGAAATCCCTCCAGTTTCGGGATGTCCCAATTCCCCAACAAATAACGAAAACGAACGTTAGCACTCCCCCAAATTTCTTTCTTCCGGAGATCACCGTCAATATATTTTTCTATGATTATGTATATTATTTTTGTTCACTTTTCTATGATTCTTTAAAGACATATATTAAGCGTCACTTTTTCACAGTTTTTCTTGTTCTCCGTATTATCTCATTACTATGCCAATCAATTGTTATTAAGACAGAAATCCCTCCAGTTCCGGGATGTCCCAATTCCCCCAACGAATAACGAAAACGAACTTTAGCACTCCCCGAAATTTCTGAAACACCTAGCATGCGGAATATTTGATGGCTTCGTTTCCGGTCTAGGACTCTGCTCAGAGCTGTGTCCGATTTTTGCGCTCGCACCCACCGAACGAAGGTTAGGTTAAGCAGCTGTGGCTGGCCTGAAGGCCAAGCTGGAGACTCTGGGGCGGGACTCGAGTTCAAAACTGGGGTGGACGTTCAGTAAAGATTCAGCCTAGGCCAAAGTCTGGCTAACTGAACTGAGCAATAAAGCCAGTCAACGACGATAGTCCGCAGCCAGTTGTGTGACATGCCCTAACCCTACACACATACATTTGCTGATCTGGGAAACCAGGGGGTAGTATTCCTGGCGACTGTATTCATTTCATTCACTTTTCAGCGGTTCCCAAAATTATTTGGCCTACCGCCAGAGGTCATTTCGGGGGGGATCGCGGGGGATCGCAGTTCCCCCGGGTGAGGTACGGGGGCGGGGCACATGACGAAGCCCCGCCCCCTGCTTCCGG